TCCTTCATCTCAAACTCAGCACTGAGAAGCCCCTTTAACTTCTGGATATCAGACTTTGACCTCGCAGCTATGAGCATATCATCCACATACAGAACTAGATATATCATCGAACCATCCTCTGCCTTGCTGTGATATACACAACAATCATATGGACTTCTGTTGTCGCCCAGCTCAAGCATGTAACTGTCAAATCTCTTGTACCACTGCCTCGGAGATTGCTTAAGTCCATACAAGGACTTCTTCAACTTACAAACATAGTCTTCTTTTCCCGGAACTTCGAATCCTTCTGGCTGAGTCATGTAAATTTCTTCTTACAACTCTCCATGTAGGAAAGCTGTCTTCACGTCTAGCTCCTCGGCTCCAAGTCATAATGTGCCACTATTGCTAGTAGCACTCTGATCGAAGTATGTCTGACCACTGGTGAGAAAATCTCATTGTAGTCAACTCCTTCCCTCTGCGAGAAGCCTCGTGCAACCACCCGAGCTTTAAATTTCATGCCCTCTTTAGAAGTGATTCCTTCCTTCTTCTTGTAGATCCACTTGTTTGTAACAATCTTCCTTCCCAGTGGTCGTTTAACTAGCTCCCAAGTCTGATTCCTGTCATGGGATTCCATCTCATCTCCCATTGCGGCAAGCCACTGATCAGCTTCACCACCCGAAACTGCTTCTCTATAGGACTGTGGCTCTCCTGCATCCACTTCCTCAGCAACCTGAAATGAATACGCCACCATGTCCTCGAAGCCATACCTCTGTGGAGGTACTCCTGCAGTCGCTCTCTTCGGTCTACCGGAAGCAATAGACTGTTGAGCTCGTGCACTGGACTCTGAAGTTTCTGGCTCTGCAGAGACATCCTCATCATGTTGATCTTCTCCACCTTGGTGCGCAAACTCACTCTCATTGAGAGTTTGCAGCTCCACCTGCTTATCAACATTCCTGCTACCTTCAACAACAGTGACCTTCAACATGGGGTTAAACATAGACTTCAACAGTGACCTTAACTCCATCTCCGTAACCCACAAATACACCCTTCTTTGCCCTTGGGTTCAGTTTACCCTCATCCACGTGATAATAAACAAGACACCCAAAAACTTTCAGTGAAGAGTAATCAGCAGGCTTACCATACCACACCTCATAAGGAGTCTTACACTCGATACCTGTGTGTGGTCCACGGTTGATCAGGAAGCACGCCATGTTTACTACTTCTGCCCAGAATCTTCTCTCTAGTCCAGCATTAGAGAGCATGCACCGTGCTCTCTCCAACAATGTCTGGTTCATCCTTTCTGCAACGCCATTCTGCTGTGGTGTATCTCTAACAGTCCGATGACGGGCAATCCCTTCATCCTTGCAGAATTCGTTGAGCTTAGAACTGCAGAACTCCAGACCATTGTCCGTTCGCAGCTTCTTGATCTTCTTCCCGGTCTGATTCTCCACCAATGTCTTCCACTGCTTGAACTTCGTGAAAGCCTCACTTTTCTGCTTCATCATGAAAATCCAAGTAAATCTCGAATAATCATCAATAATAGACAGAAAATACATGCTGCCTCCAATGGATTCAACTCGTGAAGGACCCCAACAGTCAGAGTGGAGGTAATCTAGTATCCCCTTCGTCCGGTGGATACCCTTCTTGGGAAACTTGCTGCGATGTAGCTTCCCAAACACACAATGCTCACAGAATTCCAAATTCTGCACCTTGTGCCCGCAAAGAAGATCCCTCTTCGATAGAACTTGCATCCCCCGTTCACTCATATGCCCCAATCTCATGTGCCAGAGAGTGGTCATATCTTCCTGATGAACCTGAGACGATGCAACTGCAGCAGAACCAGACAACACAGACCCTTGTAATGCATACAAGGTCCCACGCTTCACGCCCTTCAGCACCTTCCTTGAACCTTTGCAGACATACACAACTCCACCTTTTCCTTTGAAGCTGAAACCCTTGCTGTCGAGTAGACTCAAGGATATCAGGTTCTTTGTCATTCGTGGAACATGCCTGACATCATTCACGGTACAGAACGAACCATCATGTGTCCGAACCTTTATGGACCCGATTCCAACAACCTTGCAGACAGCTCCATTAGCCATGACCACGTTACCACCATCTATCTGCTCGTAGGTTGTGAAGCAATCCCTGTTCGGAGACATATGGTATGAGGTTACAGTATCCAGAAACCACACATCCCCACGATGTGCCTTCTCATCTACAGCCAAGGCGAGATCGTCTTCAGAACTGTTGTCCACTTCTGCCACGGCAACTGAACCTTGTTTCTTCTGTTGCCCTCTTCTCTTGGGACAGTTGTACTTCCAATGCCCCACTTCCTTACAGTTGTGACAAGCATCACCTGGCTGTGGACCGGGACCCTTGGAATTCTTGCTCGAATTCCCTTTACCAGATTTCTTCTTTCCCTTTCCACCTGTAACAGCCAAACCCGATGCCTCACCAACTGTACCAGATCCGGACGCCTTATGTCTGATCTCTCTCGTATGAAGAGCAGACCTGACATCCTCCAACGACACGCTTTCTTTACCAGCAATAAAAGAATCAACGAAATTCTCATATGAACTCGGCAAAGAAACCAGCAGGATTAGGGCAGCATCCTCGTCATCAACTTGAACATCTATATTACGCAGATCCAGCAAAATAGAGTTAAGTTGTTCGAGATGTTCCCTCAAAGGCGTACCTTCTTGCATCCTCAAGCTGAACAACCGTTGCTTGAGATGCAGCTTGTTGGCTAAGGACTTCGTCATATACAGACTCTCCAACTTTAACCACAAGCTCGCGGCAGTCTTCTCAGCAACGACTTCAATGATGACGTCATCAGACAACGATAGCATGATGGTCGAGTGGGCCTTCTCCTCCAGGGTATTCCACTCATTGTCATCGACCGCTGCCTTCTTCTGTTTCGCAGACAGCGGCCCCCACAGCCCTTGCTGTTTTAATAAAGCCTGCATATTGATCTGCCATATAGCGAAGCTGTTCTTCCCCGTGAACTTTTCGATCTTCATGTTCACCGACGTCATTCTTCTGAATCGAAAACCCTAGCCTGATTTCCAGCCGCGGCTCTGATACCACTTGTTAAAAACGCGCTGCTACGGATCGGGAAATCGCCGGAATCGACAAAGCAAGAATACGAAAGCGAGAATCGAAAACACGACACACGATTTACGTGGTTCACTAACACGATGTGTGTTAGCTACGTCCACGGGCGAGAGAGAGCCAGTTTCACTATATCAAGGAGATTACAGAGGAGTATGAGAAGTATTTATAGCACTTCTCCATGTGGGTCTAAACCTAATCCAATCTGACAAAGGAAACGGTTACAGACCAGGCCCAGAACCCGAACCCAAATAACAGCGAGACCCCCGATTACCAGTCGTAGTGGCTGATAATCCGATTCAAGTCATATCAACAAGAACCTCAAACCCGGGGACACCTCAACCCTCGCAATTTGTTTTCTAAACCTAAGAACATATTCATCGCTGACTGAGTAGGGGGACGTGAAAGACCCTTGGAAAATAAGATCTTTGTCATCTAGTAGGTAAATTTGACCTGATCTACAGAGGATCAATTTTTTTTTGCTTTTGTTGTAGACTTTCACGGCCATTATTGAAAGGAAGTGAGATATATGTTATAATTTTTCTCTTTTGTTTTTGTTGTGAGTCCTTTTGTGTGCTTTATTTAGAGACTTTTATTTTTAGTCTTTTGTGTTCAATTTCATTTCTGTTCGTACTCTGAATTTTTTTAATTGTAGTATCCTGTTTTATAGATTGTAGTCAGAATCTAAACTTGAGAACAGCATATTGCAATTTTGCGATTGATTACAACCATTGGCCATCTGAACTGCGAGCACTTCTACTATACTATATAGTATTGATGCTTTAATGTACAACTTAAAGTTGTACCATAACATTTTCTTCTGATTAATAAGATTAGCAGGTTTCCATAAAAAAAAAAAAAAAAGTTGAACCATAACATTAAATGTATAAGTTTAGGTTGTGCCATAAAGCAATTTGTATCATTATGTTATGGTACAACTTTACAACTTGAAGTTGTACCATCACATAAAGGTACAAGTTCAAGTTGTACCATCACATAAAGGTACAAGTTCAAGTTGTACCATAAAAGAATTTGTACAAAAAGTATAGGTACAATCTGAAGTTGTACTATAACATAAATGTATAATTTTAAATTGTACCATAAAAGCAAAACTCTATAACACCAATACTATATAGCATTGTAAAATTTCTCCGCATGTTTACGTCACATAAAGGGCCAATGGTTTGCCTGAAGTGGATGAGCCATTAGGAGTATCGAATTTGGATGCTCATGCAAATCAAAATGAAGCACACAAATTCATCATACATCCTAAAAATATACATACCCAATTTAGATGTGATATAATTGCATCCCACTATCTAAAGATACGGTCTAATAGATTGTTATACCAACTAGTTAGATCAACATGTGATATGTGAACAATGACAATTGTGTACCATAGTCAGTAGCTATATATGGACTAGATTAAAAGATAATTGAACATGCCATGACGTTGTTAGGATCACTTTTTGTTTTTTTATAAGATTTCATGGAACTTAGATTTTCTGATGTTACTTTCTCCTACTTTATAACATTAGCAGCTCAACCGTGACCACTTCAGTTATGTTGCTTTCAGGACATATCATAATTGGTGTTGGCCTGTTGAAGATGTCATCGTTGTCACGAGCAAATGACTATGCTTTCTGTAATGAGAAATTCTCATGTCTTGCCACCATTATTCATAACTTCTTCATGCAAATGAAACGTAATTTAATAAGGTTCTCTGTGTATAATTCATACATGATAATTTAGACGTGTCAATGGCATGTGGAGTGGTTTTCTTCGCCTCATTGATTGCGTTCTTTGTACGGTGATTTACTGTTAAAACAGAAACCCACTCCAACTCTCCAAGTGATTCTTGGTTAATCCTGACGTCGCCTAATATTCTCTGACAAAACCATAACTCTCTGTATTCAAGTTGTGATGTACAGCATACTATAAATTGGTTTTTGTTCTGTCTTCCGAATCCACTAGTTCTCACATGCAGGAAATCAGAAGGCATACTTGTTTTTTGGTAGTGCCATAATTTGGTATGGAGATGAAAGAACGTACAGATACTCGAGCTAAAGAAAATGCAGCACTCTGCACACTTCATGATCTTTGTTTGATCTCCGTTTCAAATTGCAACGACTATCATTGTCTAAGTCACACGAGTATCCTTTCGAACATGTGCAGACTTGCTTCCTGTATCATATACATATATGGACGCAAGGACTCAAGAACCCAGTAATTCGGAGTGCTCCCTTCTTGCCGTATCTATCATTGTGCACAAGAAATTGGTTGGATCACAACTGCCTGGACTGGAAAGAGATGCGTGTGCGAGAAATGGAAGCTTTCTTAGGGACCTTCCACTCAATCCCTGTAGAGTAACAACAAATTTCTTTCATGAGCTGAAGGACTCTTGGTTGGTTACCTGCTCTGCAACGTGTCCCTGACAGAAAATTGATTGCAATCAGAACAAGGTCTTCTCTTACCTCGCATGACTCTGCAGCTTCAAGCAATTGTTTATACAGCAATAATGGCCATGTTTGAGCTTCTTGCACATCAGCTGTCCCTAGTTTTTCTCTCAGTGTTGAGAAGTTTGGAAGCTTGAGATCATAATCCTGAGGAAATGACAGGAGGAAGAGTTTGATGATTCCATGTTAGTACAAAGTGTAAACAATAGATGCAGCAGATTTGAATAGTTCCTTGTGGACTTCCATGATATAAACATTAAGAACCTGGTGATTTGCTACTATTCCACTTCGTATAAGTTCTTGTACACAAGATCTCAGAATCTCGTAACGAGCTTCAAGAGTGGGAGGGCCAACATATGCTTTGATATCAGCTCGATCAACAAATGCAATATCTGCAATCAAGAAAAGGTGAAAATGGATAGAAGTCCTATCTAGTGTCGCAAAGAAAAAAGAACTGTTACCAATCCAGGATATAGATTTAACAGTTACCTATCGCAGCAGTGATATTGGATGTAGTCAAAATAATCACATTCGGTGAAGATTTCAATTTGTCCATCTGAGTTAATAGTGCATTCACAACCTGTAATCAATCCCACGAAAATAATAATGAGTTGGTCTAAGTAGTCTTATTCATGAAAGAAATGAAAAACAAGGAGGTGGCCGATAGTAGCAGTACACGAATCGAGTCTGAAGGTTCAGAGCCAGACAAAGCAGCTTTTCTGGCAGCAGCAAGGCTTTCAACCTCATCTGCAACATAAACATTTCAATGCTTTGACCCCCAAGAAAAAAGGGAAAGAAGCTGAAGATTGAATCTGTAAACTTTGAGTACCACAATAAACCTCACCAATCAAAACAAATACCAGATTGTTCTCTTCCTCTACCATTTCTTGAATCTTTTGGAAAAGCTTTGCGACCTAAAATGGTATATAGATGTCACTGAAATTAGGGCATGTAAAAGTCAAGATTGAACTAAGCAATAATATAAAATCACAGGTTCGTCAATTTACTTCAACCAAAAGAATAAAGCTCTAGCAGTTCAAAACTCTCAGGCACCAGGAGGATAGGGAACAAGGAATTGCAATATATACATCCCCATCTGTTTGGTTTGGGGTTTAAAATGCATCAATGAGATCACAAAATTAGGTACAAGAGAAGAGCATCTAAGTTCATCAAAAGATAAGATTAAGGGCCAAAGCTAGATTAAATTTGTAAGCAGAAAAGCTTGTATGGTTCAAACAGATAAGTGAATAGCAAAACATGATTTCTACGAAACCAACCCTTCTATACTTTATTCAGTGTGATTGTGTCAGCACTTACCAACTTGCCACTTTCAGAGAACCATTTGCTGAATAGAGAATGAGCGTTGACTTCAATCAACTGGCACTGTGGATATCTGATGAGAGAATCATAAACATAAAATTAGTTATGATCATAAACAGGGTATATATTAAGAGGATAATGCTAACTTGTATGGAAATCTCATATAAGGAATAAAGAGTTCATAATAAACAATGCCAACAGACCTGGAATTAAACCGTATTGAAAGCTTTTGAGCAAGGGCCTTGCATAAAGATGTCTTGCCAGTACCTGGAGGACCATGTAAAAGAACAATGCTGCAAAACAATTACAAACCAAAAATCTGAGCCATCATCCACAAAGATTACTAGTGAACAGAAGATTGAAGGATTCACACACTTCTAATCAAGTTGACAATGGGTAATCATTTACCGATTCCAGGAAACAAGGAATGGGTCAACGCCCTTTTCAGTGAAGAGCAGCGCACTTGCAGCATATCGCAACAACCTTTGTTTGAGACCGGATTCATAAATCAAGCTGCCCAGATAACAGTAGTGTCAGTATTGTTCTTACACCCACTGAAACGAAGATGGATCAAAATTCAAACCAACCTTTCCCACAAGCCATCAAATTCCTTTGCTGGGAGAATCCATTCGTTGAAACTAGCGAGTTGGCCATCACCACTTACTTCCTCGCATGGTCCTTCATCACTAAGCTAAAAAGCCGCATTTGGAGTAAAATACCCAAACATGCTCGCCAATAATTGGAAAACAAAATGTTCAAGCTTAAAAAGGCCAAGGTACCTGAAAGACATGTACAAGAGGCTTGACTTGCCAGAACAAGAGAATTCTATGGTTCTTTATCCCTTCGTCTGCAGAAGGACAAGCCAATAGTCGGTACGTTAAATCCACTTAAGGTTAAACTGTATACTCCAGTCATCCATATTGCCTACAGGAAACACAAAACATCATGGGACTGAGAGAACCAAACCTGTGTCACATATGCATATCCTATGAACGTTCTCTACCAGAAAGGTGTCATCAAGAGGAACAGGTATTGGTCCATCGATATAGCTCATGCTCCTCTTTTCAAGCATTCTAGCATATGACAGAAGGATAGACCACAGAAGTTTGAGAAAAGGAGTCCTAACTTCAAAGCATTTTCTAATGTTGTCAATACTCCCAAAACTGACTGAAGAATCACAACGTAGCATTCTCTATCTAATTAAACTCAATTTGAACCTTTCAACTGCTGAGCAGACATCTTGGGTTCGTGCTGTGCTCGACGGTTTTAAGCAAACTTCAACTGCAAAGGAAAAGGAAGGTAAAATAAAATCCCACAGGAAGCTGAACTTTTAGGGGTGTAAGAAATTGCGTGAATGCCTCGTATGAAAGCTGAAAACATAGTCGGTGCTTACCAGAAACGAGAAATTTGTCTTCGGGGAGAGATGGAGGAGGAGAAGGAGCTACTGCGGGGAGCGGCGGAAGGCCATTCTGTTCAGAAATGGTAGTTTCAGTGACGGGTTTCTGCTCGGAGATCTCCATCGGAGTCGTCATTCTAGGGAAATTATGGGATTCTCGCAGTAGAAACACTGCATCCACAGGACGTATGGTGGTAGAGATTTGGGGAAAGCTGTAAACCCTAGAAAGAGGGAGAGGTCTTAGGAGGTTTGAAAATTGGGCGGGAGACAAATTACTGCCAAATATGTGACTAGTCGCTAGTACAATCGGATTCCATTGGTACTAGTTATAAAATTGACTCGAATAATTTACTGAATCGCTATTCGTCGCCCTAAAATTCAAATTTTATCGCCCTAAAATGTACCAAATTGACACTCTTACCCTCCGATCCCTGCTAATCCTCTGTCTGTGGCCGCTGCTGTCACTGTCAATTTTTTCTATCGGAGCCGCCCACCTCAACTCGATCTCCACCGGTGCTTTGCTTCTACTGTCGAAGTGATCCCAAGCAGGAGGAGGAAGAAGAGTATATATGACTAAATTCCACAAATGAAAAAAATAAAAGTAAACATGACACTTTTGGTGCAGTTCCTTTGCACGAGCTTTGATGGTGAATTGGTGATGATTCTTCTTCTCTAGTTTAGTTTTTTTTTGTTTTGCTTGGTGCAGTTGTCATGGAAACTGAACTCCGGCAACTGTTGGAATAATTATGGGTCAAAAGTAATTAAGAACAGTTGGGAAATCTTTTCAACGGCCCACTGGCCACTTCAACCTGCCCACCGCCGCTTCCCTATTGCTGCTGCCGGATTCTTATGTTCCGAACAAAAGGAAGGAGACGAATGAGGAAGAAGGTTTTAGGGTTAGTTTTTTATTTTTTTTTTCTTTACCAGATGCCGGACGTGTTGAAACTCTGACTCCGGCGAGCATGGGATGGATTCCTGACCTGTGCCAAGGATAAGAAAGAGAGAAAAGACTCGGTGGAAGGCAAGGATGAGGTAGGAGAAGGTAAAGGATATTTGAGTCATTTTAATAAAAGTTAGGGCGACGAATAAGGTATTTTAGGGCGACGAATAGCAATGCCCATAATTTATGGGGTAAATTGCAAGGTTGGTCACTGAGATTACTAAAAACGCTCACGTTTGGTCATTGTAAATATTTAATTTCATTCTTGGTCACTACAATTAGTTAAATGTTTCAAGTTTGGTCACTCTCCGTTACCTTCCGTTAGTCTCCGTCAACGGTGTTAGTTTTTTGCTGATGTGGCTAACAGAAGTGCCTAATCAGCCAATTTTAATTCAAAAAAAATATAGCCTGACCCGCCACATCAACAAAACCAGCCGCATCATAAATTACAACCCAACCCATAACCCTAACCAACCTTATGACCCGCCCATTCTCTAAAATAAATCACCTGTGCAGCAAAAAAATATTTTGTCTTTGATTTTTTTTAGGGTTCAAAAAAATTGGAAGCTGGAAGAGGGCGGCGGACAGCTACCTCCTCCTCCTTCTACTCGCCATCTCCACCATTCTTCTATGAGCTTCACCTTCTCCCTCTATGACTCCTTCCGACGCCGAATCTATCCTCGCGTTGAAATCAAAATCATAGTTACAATCCACCCTCCACTACTCTCACAAAGCTTCCCCCAGCTCTGCCTCCATCGCAAAGCGTTCAGTCCTCCAAAACAAGGTCACCCACCTCGTCCTCCAGAACCTACTCCTAAGTGGCATCTTCCCCGCCAACATCCTCACCCAACTCTAGCGGCTCCAGGTCCTCGGCTTGTAGAAAACCTCCTCACCGGCCCAATCTCCGCCAACACCCTCACTCGCCTCTCTCGACCGCTTGAACTCCCTTTGCCTCGAGTGGAATCGCTTTAACGAATCCATTTCCCCACTCAACCAGTCCTCTCTCCTTTCCTTCAACATCTCCCACAATGTCGACCACGCGGGCCATTCCCCTCACCCCGACGTTCCTTCCCAACTGAATCGGAAGGCAATCTGGGCTTCAATCAATAAGGGAGGCAATATGAGATTCTGTCAATTGGAGACCGAGATTGACAGCAGTTGGAGGAACCGGCGGCTACGGAGGATGGCAGATCTGGGTTATTGTTCTCCAGAACCAGCGACCAGATTTGAAGCTCCAACGCTTCAAACTTCTACTTCAACTTGGCATCACCGTCGCCACGTTGGTCGGGGCTTGAGAAGATCTCCACCTCCCGATCTTCCTTAGTAACACCACTACTCTCAGTATCCGCCATCAATCAAACCCTAGGATTATCTCAAAGAATGAAGAAATGAAAGAATCAGAAACAGCAGAGGTGGCGACGAAGTGTATGGAATCGTTTGGGGATTTCTAGGTTTTGCCGAGAAAGAACAAGCCAAGCAAGGTGGGTATAGAGTCGGTCACAGGTTGGGTTGGGAAGGGTCGAGTCATGGGTCGGGTTGGGGAAACTGACGTGGCGGGTCGGGTTGTTTTGTTTCTCGGGTTAAAATTAGCTGATTGGGCACTTCTGTTAGCCACACCAGCAAGAAACTAACGGAGTTTGACGGAGACTAACGGAGAGTGACCAAACCTGGAATGTTTAACCAATTTCAGTGACCAATTTTGGAAGGTTTAACTAATCCTAATGATCATAAATGGAATTAAGTATTTACAGTGACCAAACGTGAACTTTTTCAATAATCTCAGTGACCAACCTTGCAATTTACCCATAACTTATGTATGACTATTCTGATCAACTTTGAATCTCTAAACAAAATTACATTATTTTTAAGAATTTATTTATTTGTTTCTTGAAATTGAAAGTTAAATATTGATATTTTGAATTTTGAATTCAAGTATGAACATTTTAATCCTTTTGAATTCAAATAAAAATATGTAGATGGTGCCGTTAAATGTTGTATTTAAATAACAAAAAAGGGTTTGGTCTAATAGTAATACAACTAGCTTTGAACCTAAAGATCTTACATTCGAATTACTTAGATAGTATTTAAAATCTTAAACCACAACAAAGTAAACATATATCACAAATAAATTGCAAGGTTGGTCACTAAGATTACAAAAAACGTTCATGTTTGGTCACTAAAAATATTTAATTCCGTTCGTAGTCACTAAAATTAGTTAAGTATGTCTAATTTTGCCACTCTCCGTCCAACTCCGTTAACTTTTGCTTATTTGACAATCAACTTTTATAGTTGACCGTTAAATGTATGACATGATAATTAAAAAATAATTAAATAATGAGATTTTAGATTTTCCACCTCATTTCCTATTTTGGATTTTGGGTCCATTTCAATTTTTTGCTTCTTCTTCGCTGGAAAACTGTTACGACCCGGCCGTCCGCCGCTTCTTTCACCAAGAGATTCACTTACTCCGACGACCTCAATTTCTCGTTGCTCCACGGCCTGGGCTCCTTACGGCACGTAACCTACGGCGAGTGGCGTCCATCGAGCTCCTCTCCAGTCACCGTCTCCAGGCCCTTTCCGATGTCAGATCCGATGAGGTCAAGTCAATAATCCGCCGGCTAGCAGCGTTAAATGGGGAATCATTCACAATCGCAACCATCACGGCCGTTCTCCTTCTCCGGCCACCGTCGACGGTGACCATCTTTTTGTAAAGCATAGCCTAGAGCAATGCTTCAGAGATGGTGACAGCTACTGGGACAATGACAATGCTGCTGATGATGATGGAACAAAGTCGACAATGGTAGAGGAAATCCGCTCAATTTTACAACAAACTCACCAGCTGTGGAGCGGCGGCGGTGAGAGAAGAAGGGAGAGGGAATTGGTGAGATATGCTAGTGCAGGAGCGGTGGAAGAAGAAGGCAGTACTGGTTGGACAAGAAGCGGCCAGAGGCCATTGGAGAATAGATGGGAGCGGCGTGCTTCCATCGACTCCACTGCCGCGTCAATCAAAACTGTGGAAATGGACACTCGTTTTCTGAACTCTCCTTTTCCTCAAAAACAGAGTCCTAGTCAGCGCCAGAGCAACTCTCCTGCCTCTCCCCTGCACAACCACCACTCCACATCATCGCCAAAATTACCATCGCCAGCTCAGGCAGCGGCAGGGTTTCACTCTCGTTCCGGCAGCACCCGCTATATGGCGGCGACTGAGTCAGCCAAGGCTAGGTCGAGATCGCAGATTTTTCGCTTCTTCTTCACTTGGCTTGACATTTCCGATGGAGTAAGTGAATCTCTTGGAGAAAGAAGCGGCGGACGGTCGGCCGGGTCGGAACAGTTCCCAGCGAAGAAGAAGCGAAAAATTGAAATGGATCCAAAATCCAAAATCGGAAATGAGGTGAAAAATCTAAAATCTAATTATTTAATTATTTTTTAATTGTCATGTCATACATTTAACGGTCAACTATAAAAGTTGACTGCCACATAAGCAAAAGTTAACAGAGTTGGACGGAGAGTGACCAAACCTGAACCATTTAATAAATTTGAGTGATTGAGATTGGATTTAAATATTTTCAGTGATCAAACATGAACGTTTTTTGTAATCTCAGTGACCAACCATGCAATTAACCCCATATATCACCTAGGGATGACAAAAATATCTGTAACCATGGATATCCGCCCGAATCCGACCTAATCGAGTAAGATAAAACTCGAACCCGAAAGATTTTTAGCAGGTACGGATAAAACCCAAACCCGAATATTGCTAATAACGGTTGGCCATGATTTTCTTACTATCCAAACCCGAACTCGCCCGATCATACACGTGCATATGTATTTTGTCTAGAAATTATCATTATTTTTCTCTATTATATCTTATATTTAGCATACAAATATAATAATTTCCATGAAATTGTGTTGTTTTAATTAATTTTCTTCATTCTAATGATTTATTGTCGTACTTTTCCTCTTATGTAATGTGAGTATACATATGAATGTTTTTTCTTGGTTCCGTATACATATGAATGTTAATATGTTGGTTGTAGTTATAAGAAAATTATTACCCATGGATAACCATGGATACCCGAAACCCGAATGAGTATGGACATGGTTTTGTTTTTCTACATGATTCTTAACTCGAACTACTTTGGGTAGAGTAACGGGTATGCATTATCCGCCCCCCGACCCGACCCCTCATGCTGCCATCCCTTATCAACCTTATGAAAAAATGTATTTAAATTGGGTTATAGGTTCGATATGCCCCTTTACTATGCCTTTTTATCAAACATGCTCATATATTATAAATTTACATCAATCATGCCCTGTACTTTATAAAAAGATTAATTGCATGGTTGGTC